TATTTGGTGGTATTATGTTTTGGGCTGGCATCATCTGAAATGAACCGGTCGGACCCTTTCGAGTGCCAGAAGGTTTCAAACTTACCAGCAGTTCCTACAACGCATTTCTGTAGGATTCTTTCGCATGATTGGTCAATTTGCTACTTTTACGTAGACGCTGGTTGAATCTTACGCATGACGATGGTCCATCGCCTTCATCCAAGGCTACAATTTCATACCTCGCATCTTCGGGATTCGAAGGACAAAAACTTATGATTTGATTTCCTTGCACTCCTGACCTTAACCGTATCGATCAGCTTTGGTCAATCTTAAAGAGGAAGGTTTATGAAGGAGGTCTACAGTTTTCATCAAAGGATGTCCTGTGTGAAAAAAAAATGACAACTGTTGCTAGTACTATAACATCTTCTCAAATTAGTAGGCTAACAGCGTCGGTGGACAAAAGGCTGTTTCATGTAATTTCTAAACATGGAAGTTACGTAGACAAATAAATTACATCACTTGCAATCTAATTGTTGTTTTCCTGTATATTTTGCTTTCACTTGCTTTATTACTACAACAAAATGGCAATATAAAGATAATAACTTGCTTCATTACCTTAAATTAACATTTTTCTACACCCGCAATGAAGCTTGACAAAGCTGAAAGCACTTTAAAATGCATAACTTAACACAAAGTTTTATTAACTCATCGATACAACTAACATTTTCACTGCATACTTATTTACTTAGAATCTTTCAGCGTAACATGTTTCACTTTTGTACAAATGTTTAACATTCAAAATATCAACAAAAATGTAGTAAAAATACACAGTTTATATATATATATATATATATATATATATATATATATATATATATATATATATATATTTCATTAAATAATATAGACAAGTGTTGTCTATTTATTTTATGTAAATTTTTTTCGTAACGTCTGATAATATACGGACAAGACAGCATTATACATCAAACAGTTGAAACCCAACCTAAACGAAATCAATTATGGCATCTCTACAAATATTCTTAAATGTCTATAATTGGTAACAGAAGCCATTGGTTTATAACAATGGCTTTCCATACTTCATACTTCTCCAATTCACTCTCGTGTGGTCATGTGTGACGTCATGAGATGCGGTGCGATTTTCGCTTCTAGCGTCTTATATGCATGTGTTTATCGTTGCTTAGAGATCATCTATGTAAACAATGACAGACTATCATCACTGTCTTTTCCGTATATTGCTTAATATGTTGTAATTGACATCTTTGATAATGGCTTATGTACGCCGAAAGCTTAGATTGTATTAAAAAAAATATGGATCAATATTGTGAATCTCTTTCTTCGTTCAACGATAATGTTATTAAATTTATCAGACATTACGAAAAAAAATTACATAAAATAAATAGACAACACTTGTCTATATTATTTATTGAAACGTGTATGAATGAAAAGATTCTGCCTAAATACAATATATATATATATATATATATATATATATATATATGAGTGTGTGTGTGTGTTTTGTGTGGGTTGATTAAATAAATTGTAAAGATGAAGTCTGCTTATTTTTATCATAATATTCATTATCCAGCTGGTAAGGCAAAAACTATGGTTAGCTACCCTTACTAAATTTTTTCACGTAGTTTTTGCCTTACCAATTGCACCTATGATGATGATCTCAGAAAGAGATGGAAAGTACTTGGAAAATAAAAGTGATTTTCATTGTTACAGTGTATTTCTTGCCTTATTCAATTGTAATATCCGGAAAAATATTCATGAATATGTACGATTAGGATCAAAATAAGCAGATATAGTGTTTGTAATTTATTCAATCAGACATGCCTAAAAGAGAATTTGCTGCCTAAATACACAAATATTGATAGATATGAACAAACTGAAATAGATACATAGATAGATAGATATGAAGAGACTAAATTTGTTGAGTAGATATAATAATGTTTTAGCGATACAATTATTACTAAGTAACACGTTGCTGGAGGGAGAAGACGTGGATTTATATATTTCCTACGCTTATATTGCGTGTAAGAGGATATAACGAACACATCGAGAATCAGAACGCGGCTCTCCGATTAAAAATTCCGCGCCATTATCCATTACACCATCCGCATATGCAAGTTTAGCGTACTTGGTGTCCCCAAGAGGCCACCCACCTAGGTGCTGACCAGACTCGACTTAGCTTAAATTCAGTCATCGTACGGTAATCGGTGTTTTAATTTCATGTAGCCATAAGCCAGATAGATAGATAGATAGATAGATAGATAGATAGATAGATAGATAGATAGATTAGATAGATAGGTTTGAAAATTAGATAGATAGATTTGAAAAATTAGGCAGATAGATAGATAGATAGATAAAATAGATAGATAGATAGATAGATAGATTTGAAAATTAGATAGATAGATAGATAGATAGATAGATTTGAAAATTAGGCAGATAGATAGATAGATAGATAGATAGATAGTTAGATTTGAAAATTAGATAGATAGATAGATAGATAGATAGATAGATAGATAGATAGATAGATAGATAGATTTGAAAATTAGGCAGATAGATAGATAGATAGATAGATAGATAGATAGATAGATAGATTTTGAATTTAGATAGATAGATAGACAGATAGATAGATAGATAGATAGATAGATAGATAGATAGATAGATAGATAGATACATTTGAAAATTAGATAGATAGATAGATAGATAGATAGATAGATAGATAGATAGATAGATAGATAGATAGATTTGAAAATTAGGCAGATAGATAGTGTTGTGATGAGATAACCCAACTTCCCCATTCACGATAATGGACGGACTGGTTGCCGATAAAGTACGACCACAGTAAACAGTAGGAAAAGGTCTTCGTTTACTAACACCATTGCGGTTAGCTTACTCCTGACTCTGTCTCTGTATTTTGACATACCTACATCCGATTATAAAATTATTATTGAAAACCACACTCGGGTTTACTTTGTTTATTATATCTTGCACGAGATATAATAGATAGATAGATAGATAGATAGATAGATAGATAGATAGATAGATCTGGAATTTAGATAGATAGATAGATTTGAAATATAGATAGACGGACAGAGAGGGAGGAAGAATCAGACAATTGGAGATAGATACTTATTAAGGCTTAAGTGTTCACTGTAAAATACTTCTCATGACAACAAACAAATTGTACCTCATTAAATATTTATAAAAAACATATAAAGTTAAACACTTCAAATGGTTGACTTTCAGGTGTTCAAAAATAACTTTATTTAACAAAAAAAGAACGAAAGAAAACCGGCTCCAAACTTTCCTCTTCATAAAAACTTTACGTTTATTCCTATCATTTATTATTTATAAATACTTAAGACCCAGAGGGGGAGAGAGAGAGAGAGAGAGAGAGAAATCAAGTATTATGTTACTCAATGTTCTTTGAAGCAGAGAAATAAACATTCTTTGAGCCGTGCGTAATTTACATTCCAAAAACAGAAAGTATCAGTTCCGATGAGGATATATCAATTCCCCTTCAGAATCCATTACATTGTAAAAGGAAATCAAACACTAAATGGTTATTTCTATTAAGAGATATATGACATCCGTCGTTCTTAAAATACCATAGATATGTGCCCGAAGAGTTGGGCCTTGGCACGGTATTTTTTTCTGAGAGATCGACACTCAACCGTTCAGCATGTCTCCCCTCTTCATGCCGCCGATTTTTTTTCCAAAGTAAAGGCAGAGGCCAAAAAATATATTGGCAACGACAACCCTCGCAGGAGCTGTCGACATTGTTAGACATTTTCATGACGGTCGTCTTCGAGTATAGAATCCAGAGGTTGGCAATGAATATTTCGGAGACAGTAGGAAAGCGTAGTGGAGGTTCGCAGTGCATATCGCAGCAAAGTAGCAGAGCGTAGTTCTTCCGTCTGTCCTGTTCGCCGGACAAGTTGCCTCTGGTCATTCCGATAGGAAAAACAAAGATGGCCGCCTTTATACACGACGGATACAGTGTTGTGCGGCTTCTGATTGGTCAACCTTCTATTGGTCGACTATAAAGGGAAATAAGTCATTTTGACTCGCTCACTAGTTATATGTTATATACCCAAAAAACCGTAACAGACATGACATCGGACTATCTGCGGAATTGAATTCAGAGCTATCCGTCTCCCAGTCTGGTTGCCAAACAAGACTACAGAGTCCAGACTGTTCTACCATTTACCTATCCTTGGATCTTTTAATTTCAGCGTTTTTCCTCCTTTTAGATCGGTTGCCACCCAAGGTTATAGAACCCAGTCTGTCTTGCCATTTTCCCCCAGCTATAACGAGAAGAGGTGGGTGTAATGAACTCGAATGGAATTCGAACTCGGCTCCCCCGATTTCCTCAGTCCATGTCGCAATCCATTACTCCAACGTGACGTGTAATAAAGGCCATATCAACTGTTGGTCATGGCAGCTTGATCCTTAAGTAATCATCTGCATGCAAGCATTGCCGTAGATCAATGCTTATATAAATGGCCTCAACCGAATGAATTCCTTTTGTCTTATATAAGACAATGTTTCATCGGTCCTATAAACCTGGCGCTACAGGATCACAAGTAAAGTGCTTTATCAAATAATACAAAACAAAAGCACATCACTTGAAAACTTCTAAAAGCAACAACCAAATCGGCTAACACATGTAACTAGAAATGAAAATAATAATATAGTCAAGGTATTCGCTTTCAACATTGGCTTAAACAAAAAGTTAGGAAGGAAACGTCCATCAATATAGGAAATAGCGTTAAATGTTACTGGACTTCCGAAGTATATTTTCTTGAAAAATAAACACTTTTAAGAGAAAGCTTTTATGAATTTCAAACGGTAGTAATTGCTAACTCTTCGGCCAAAGATTTACGAATGTTCCCTTCATGGAAAAAGCCTATTTTTAGCCATTGCCATCATGATTTATCTATAGTGTAGTGCTTAACGATATTCCGTGAATTGAATGGAATAATATTCTGATGTTTCTTGTTTTCGATGCATATTTTTCTCCTCCCATCGCCTGTAATCCGAGAAGTCATTAACATTAAAGCCTGGATTATTTAAATGCCTTCACCAGCCTTACGAAATGTATTTAATTCACCAGATGTATGTACCTGATGGCTAGTCTCCATTCAGCAACGGGAAAATGAAACATTCGAAATTACTGAAATTAAAAAGAATAGATCGACAAACACTATTCCCAAATCTATTAATACTTAAATGATACATATATATATATATATATATATATATATATATATATATATATATGATATAGATCCGATAGTATGAAGAAAAATATACGGAAAAAACAAACAAAAATCCTAATATAATATATTTTGATTAGTCTTATTCTTATGTCCATCGTCTTTTCATGTTGAATTAAATATAGTCTAATGTTAATTATGTTTTATGAATATGTCCTGAAGATGGTCTACTAGACCGAAACGTCCGACGTTGACATTATATTAACATTAAAAACGGCATAATTGCATATTAGGATTTTTGTTTGTTTTTTTTCCGTACATTTTTTTTCACTTATATATATATATATATATATATATATATATATATATATATATATATATGTATTATTTATGTAGCGGCTTTTCCTGGCTAAAGTCATTTACTCAGATTTTATTAATGCTCACGGAAAGAAGGAAATATATTAACAAGGAAAAAATTGACATCCAACTGGATTTGCCGTATTTTGCATCAATCATTTATACATATATATATATATATATATATATATATATATATATATATATATATAATGGTACCTTAAAGTGGTCTGTTTTTTCTTTTTAATATATATATATATATATATATATATATATATATATATATATATATATGTGTGTGTGTGTGTGTGTGTGTGTGTATATTTATCCACACAGACATACATATATATGAAGAAATACAGTTTTAAGACGTGATATATTTATGGGATAAAGTGCTCCATGTCAGAGATAGAGCGTATGTAAATATAAATATAAAAGTGAATATTGAAGTCAACACTCGGAGGCGACAGGCTGTTTCATGCTAGTCAGGGTGCGATGGTTAAATAGTCGTCCAAATTACATAAAAATGGAAGCAAAACTGACGTCTCGTTTTAACCGATACATTTACCAAAATTACACAAAAATATTTTGAAATACTAAAGAGTAAATTTGAAGCAATAAAATCGCCATCGGCTTCCACCACGGCCTCCATACGACTTCGAAATATCCTGCATCTCTTCTGCATGAACTTGTTTCTGAATGCTGCCATCAACCTTGCCTTCAGTCCATCTTTGGTGTTTCAAAGGGTTTCCTTTGTCTCTCACTCAGCTGCGCCCCACAAATAATAATCAAGTGGGCTTGCAGTCAGGGGAGTTAGGTCGTCAGATGTAAGAGGTGTGTTGGTCGGAGAAATTGTCTGATAGCCATAACAGGGTTATCCTATTTGTGTGACATGGTGCAGAGGTGATGGTATCATTGACTTCGTCCTAAAGAAATGTGCTACTGTTCTCTCCAGACAATATATTCCCACCCCCGTTGGTTCCTGCTTGCACGCTTGTTCGAAGTCCTCCTCCCTAGTTCCTGTTTTTAAAAACTCTGGGGAACTTCATATCTATCTATCTATCTATCTATCTATCTATCTATTCAGTCTGTTCGTATCTGTCTCTCTATCTATCCATCTACCTGCCTATTCTCCTTTCAATATCTATCTATCTATCTATCTATCTATCTATCTATCTATCTATCTACCTATCTATCTATCTATCTGCCTAATTTTCAAATCTATCTATCTATCTATCTATCTATCTATCTATCTATCTATCTATCTATCTATCTTCCAAATCTATCTATCTATCTATCTACCTATCTACCTGCCTAATTTTCAAATCTATCTATCTATCTATCTGCCTAATTTTCAAATCTATCTATCTATCTATCTATCTATCTATCTATCTATCTATCTATCTATCATCTATCTATCTATTGTAATAGATAAGGGCTCGAAATGAGAAATCTAGTAGAAAATTTCGAAATGCAGTCATGTTCCTTACATTAACTTACTGGCAAAAATGTATGACTCCGTATCTTACCTCTCAGCTATGGGTTAAATAGTAAGTCTTGTACTTGAAATAATTATTAGTAGTAAAAAATTCTCAATGCAATGTTCACTCGCACAGACAAAGAAATAAATATATTTCTGCTTTATATAACACACAAAGTTTAGATTAAAAAAAAAACTAACAAATCTATCTATCTATCTATCTATCTATCTATCTATCTATCTATCCATCCTAGTTTGTACATTATCTATCTATCCTTGTTTGTACATACATCTATCTAGCTAGCTATCCCAGTCTCTTTATTATCTATCTATCTATCTATCTATCTATCTATCTATCTATCTATCTATCTATCCTAGTTTGTACATTATCTATCTATCCTTGTTTGTACATCTATCTATCTATCTATCTATCTCACTCCATTCATTATCTATCTATCTATCTATCTATCTATCTATCTATCTATCTATCTATCTATCTCACTCCATTCATTATCTATCTATCTATCTATCTATCTATCTATCTATCTATCTCACTTCTTTCATTATCTATCTATCTATCTATCTATCTATCTATCTATCTATCTATCTATCTATCTCACTCCATTCATTATCTATCTGTCTATCTATCTATCTATCTATCTCACTCAGTTCATTATCTATCTATCTATCTCACTCCATTCATTATCTATCTATCTATTCTCATCAATCTGCGCAACCGTCCTTTTATGCAATCCTCCTTTCTTTTCTATCCCACTCTTTCTCTCTCTCTCTTCCACTTCCTTTTTATCGTACTTCCTCTTCCTCTTTTCTTTCTTTTCTTTTTATATAACCCCTCTTCTTATTCATAACTGTGTCTTCTCTTTCTCCTCTCTCTTATTTCTCTTTCTTTCTCAAAACCCACATTCTATAATTTATATCCAAAAATAAACACTGAAAATAGGAAAAATGTATTTCAAATCAGCGTTCGCCTAACTTAGTTAATTAGCCGAATTTTTTTTTTTTTTTTTGCATTTATTTGAAATATTCCCTGATACATTCCGTACAGATATTTTCCGTTTTTTATTATTATTATTTTGCTTTTGTTTCATTTGGTTTTGTTTGCATTTTTTCGGGAAATTTGAGAAGGAAACAAAACGAGGGCGTTAATGATGCCAGATTTAAAAAAAAAAAACAAAAAAACAAAAACACACACACACAAAAAAAAAAAACATTGATCTTCTTTTGGGGTAAATTTGAAAAACAGCAACGAAAGAGTTTCCCAAAATTAAATCATTGAAAGAAATTGCAAAGAAAACAAATGTAATTGCCAATTTTGGTACCATTCCGAAATTACACGTTTTTCATGTAGTTCATATTTTTTACATATTGTAATCTCACTATTGTATTCTTTCCTCTTCGGTGTATCTATCTATCTATCTATCTATCTATCTATCTATCTATCTATCTATCTATCTCATTCCATATCTATCTATCTATCTATCTATCTTTACGTATCTATTTATCTCAGTATTTTCACATCTATCTATCACAATCTCTTCATACACACGCGCGCACACGCACACTCACACAAAGACACACAGACCTATATATATATATATATATATATATATATATATATATATATATATATATATATATATATCCCTATCTCTGTCAATCTATCTTTCTATCTCAATTTCTATATATATATATATATATATATATATATATATATATATATCCCACTCTCTCTCAATATATTTATCTATCTATTTTTTTTATGTATCTCATTCCCTTCATATTTATCTATTTTTCTCACCATCTATCTATCTATCTATTCTCTTCCCCATCTATCTATCTATCTATCTATCTATCTATCTATCTCATTCTCTTCCTTATCTATCTATCTATCTATCTATCTATCTATCTATCTATCTATCTATCTATCTATCTATCTCATTCTCTTCCTTATCTATCTATCTATCTATCTATCCCTTCATCTACCTATTAAATTACCTTCGCTTCATGCTTCTTACTTTCCATTTCATTACCCTTTCCATGTTCTTTGACATTTTCCTCTATTTTCTTACATCTTCCCATTTCAATCTTCTATTTTTGCTCAGGCTCTACTTACTCTTGTGTCTTTTCCTTTCTTTTTATCGCTCTTTCTCTTTCATTTCTTTTTTACTTTTTCATCATTTATCTTTTTATTCATCTCCTAGACTTACTTTCTTTCCTTTTTCTTTCTTTCTTTCTTTCTTTCTTTTCTTTCTTTTCTTTCTTTTCTTTCTTTCTTTCTTCCTTTCTTTCTTTCTTTTCTTCCTTTCTTCCTTTCTTCTTTCTTTCTTTCTTTCTTTCTTTTCCTTTCTTTCTTTCTTTCTTCCTTTCTTCCTTTCTTTCTTTCTTTCTTTCTTTCTTTCTACCTTTCTATCTTCCTTTCTTTCATTCTTTCTTTCTTTCTTTCTTTTTTTCTTTCTTTCTTTGTTTCTTTCTCATTATTATTTCTACAGAATACGACCATACCCAATTCTATCTGTTTCTGTTTGATTCTTTTTTACGTTTCTTTAAAAAAAACTATTTCTCTTAAATTATTATTATTTAACTTCATTTTAATCGTTTGTTTGTTTTAACGTACCTTTGTTTTGTGATCCCCTTTCTTTCCTTCTACTTGTCAGTTTTCTTTTTTATTTGATCGCCAAATGTTGCCACTCAATTTTCTTCTTTTTTTTTTCTTCATTTTTCACGTCATTTCCTTTCTGCCTTCTTTCTTTTATCTGTCTTTCGTTTTATTTCTTCGTTTTTCCATCCCCCTTTCTGTTTTTCTTTCTTCTTTGGCCTTTTCTTTCTTGCCTTATTCTTTTGTTTTTCATTTTGAGCTTCAATCTATTTTCTTTTGTTTTTTCTTTTTTTCTTTCTTTCTTTCTGTATTCTTATCGCTTATCAGTTTCCCTTCAAGCAGACTTCGTTTTGTTTATTTTGCGCGATTTTTTTTTTTCTAGCACCTTTTTCTTTGCATTGAGAAAACATTGATTTAATTAAACAATAACGATGCTTTGAGAAGATAAACCCGGAAAAATATATTTAGCTCTTCCCATAAAAAAAAAAGCTAAGTGCGAAACAAAATGGCTGAACTACAAAAAATTTTATTCTGACCGACGTCCAAGATTTAAAAGATTTGGGATAACAAATTCGGAAACAAAAATTTGCTCTCAATCAATTATTAACATAGCGATTAAAAGATGCAATGTCGACCGAGTACAAATCTTACTGAATACTCTATGAGAATCCTGCAAAACTGACTTGGTTTATTGCTCTATCAGTAGCGCCTAGAATACGCAGATTACCAGCAAAGAAATGACCCCGACAAAATATAACTTACCAATATTTACCTAGTATCAATTATTTATAAACGCTAAACGATCAAGATTCATTATACAGGGTTTCCCTAACGTCTGAGAACCCTAGGCAAAATGCATATTTTCAAGAAGTGATATTTTCAACAACATTTTATTTAATTAGAATATTAACAAATAACATCTTCAATATGATTTCCATCATTTGTGATGGAAAGGTTGATGCGCTTTGCAAGATTAACGTGCACTCGATGCAATAACTCCGAATTGTCGTCATTTTTAGCACACTCACTCTTTATGCGTTCAGTCAAGTGTGTTGCATATGTGATGTTCCTTGAGTACACCTTCTCCTTTAGCAAACCCCAGATAAAAGTAGTAAATTCTTTCTTCTTTCGACAAAACCTTGTTTAATCTGTGGATGCAAAAAAAAAAAAAAGAAATATGGTTAATGAGATTTCCTGTGTCCAAACTTTATGCACACCTTTTGGAATAAAGTATAAACGACTAAACTTTCTCTATAGGCTGACGTATAAATAAATGACAACGCATACCTATAGTCTCAAGTATAAGCAAATATCATTTACGTATAAAATTAAGTATAAATGACAAGCATTAACCTAGTCATACGAGAATAAATGTACCGCAAATATTTACTATAAGCTCAAGTATAAATCAACCAACAGCGCATAACTATAGTCTTAAGTATAAATGGACAACAGTAAACTATAGACAAAACTAGAATGAAAAAAAAGAATTATCTACAGAGTAAAGTATAAGAAATTCAAGTATAAATACATACAATACGTTTAAATAAACAAACGTTCAGTACTAAAAGATAGGCATAAATTATAAACAAATGAGCTCTGTTTACGTATAGACACAAGTACAATTAAAAAAAGACTTATTGTAACAACTAGAAAAATCCGATATTTAACTATAGAATCAAGTATAAATAAATGACCAATATTTACCGCGTCCTGGGTAAGACGATAAACTTACATCCGCGTCCTGGGTATGACGATAAACTACATCCGCGTCCTGGGTAAGACGATAAACTACATCCAAAAACAACATCCAATTGTAGACCAACATATAGTATTTGTTACTGTATTTATGTGAATGAGAACAACCATTATCGGGCTGTATGTGTGCTACAACTGGAGTGTAACGCGGAAAATAATTGTCATCCACAACGACACAAGCAGACGCTTTTGGAATCTGTCGAGGGTGGAAATGGAAGATTGGGCATCTCATGTCCATATATGACCGCGGTCCTCCATTTTTGGTCTGATCTGACACTTGTAGAGTTAGAAGACAACATGTGGAGTCAGTTACATGCTGGAGTGTTACAGATCTCGAAGCGTTTTCCCAGCAAATTTATCCATATGAAATGACCCATTTTGATATCCCGTAAAATCTAATAATCAAACATCATTTTTATTTGTTTATTCCAAACAATATATAAAGTTTTTCGGGTTTTTTTGTTTAAACACCAAAAGAATATTGACGACGGTACGTTTATTTCCGTTCAATAAGTTTATTCATTTGATAAATTTGAAAAGACCTTTTTAATTATTTCCAATTAGACCGTATAGATCTGTCTGGCCAAAACACAATATGAATATTTCTAATTCATTTATTTTCCATGGAAAGCGAATTAAAAAAAAAGACATTTATGAATAAATAGGCCCTCGCCATAAAGACTGAGCATAATTCTTTCGAAATATAAATGGCTTAGGGGGTTTATTTTGTGGAGATAACTTACGCATTGAATTTGAATTTGTATCAGCTTTATCGCTGTAGGTGCGTATCATTTCACGTCGGGAAGACAACATGTGTTACGCTTCTGGTCATAGAACAAAAACAGTGGCAAACGAAATTTACACATTTAAATAACGGATGTTAGGAAACTGAAAACATTACAACGAATCGATAGTTTCATCTATATAATAAACTAGCAGCATGGCCCGGCGTTGCCCGTGCTTGATTCAAAAATCGTACGACTCATACAGCAATCGCTATCACTTAAAATATTTTTGCTCTTCCTTGCCTTTAAAGGAGTGCCTTTGCCGTGCCTTACTTCTTGCCTATCTCACACTGCGAATTTTTTCTAAGCTCTATACTAAACATTAAATCTGTTACGAAAAAAGAACTAAACAAAATGAACACAAAACGATCAGCTTTAAAAAAGGACTCGTTTCTGGTAAAACCGAATGAAAAAAGAATGTTAACAAATAATTTTTCACACCCAACCCAGTTCTGCGAAATCAGAATCAACGTTGAGTTTAAGCAAGCGAATGAGCCAATTGGAGTAAAGTGCCATGCAGATTTAAATTTTTCCCACTTGTGACGAATGAAGCTATCGATATTTTTATTTATTTTTATTTTTATTTTTTTTGCATGCTAGGATGCTAGTTAACATTCGCGTCAGTCAGCTGTTGGCTCTCACGCTGGCCAATTGAATCTTCCTATCTATTCGTGGCAGCCAGCTATTGGCTCTCACTATGGCCAGTAGG